GAAGTAGTACGGGGAGAAAAGTTACATATGAGAAGTTTTTACAAAGTAAAGTGATGCAAGGAGGGGAAAAGTAATATGGAGAAAAAGAGAGAAGGTTAAGAGAGTGGTGAAGCAATGTAAAAAGAGAGCAAATGAGAGAGTGGGGGAGATGTTAATCACAAATTTTGTTGAAAAAAAAGAAAAAGTTTTGGAGTGAGATTAACAAGTTAAGAAAGCCTAGAGAACAAATGGATTTGTCAGTTAAAAATAGGAGAGGAGAGTTAATAAATAGAGAGTTAGAGGTATTGGGAAGATGGAGGGAATATTTTGAGGAATTGTTAAATGTTGATGAAAAGGGAAGCTGTGATTTCGTGTAAAAGGGCAAGAGGAATAACATCTTGTAGGAGTGAGAAGAGCCAGTTTGAGTGTGGGGGAAGTTCGTGAGGCAGTAGGTAAAATGAAAGGGGGTAAGGCAGCCGGGATTGATGGGGTAAAGATAGAAATGTTTTAAAAACAGGTGGGGGTATAGTTTTGGAGTGGTTGGGCAATTATTTAATAAATGTATGGAAGAGGGTAAGGTACCTAGGGATTGGCAGAGAGCATGCATAGTTCCTTTGTAAAAAAGGCAAAGGGGATAAAAGAGAGTGCAAAAATTATAGGGGGTAAGTCTGTTGAGTGTACCTGGTAAAGTGTAATGGTAGAGTTATAATTGAAAGAATTAAGAGTAAGACGGAGAATAGGATAGCAGATGAACAAGGAGGCTTTAGGAAAGGAGGGGGTTGTGGACCAGGTGTTTACAGTGAAACATATAAGTGAACGTATTTAGATAGGCTAAAGAGGGCTTTGTGGCCCTTTTTGGATTTGGAAAAGGCGTATTAACATGGTGGATAGGGGGGCAATGTGGCAGATGTTGCAAGTGTATGGTGTAGGAGGTAGGTTACTGAAAGCAGTGAAGAGTTTTTACGAGGATAGTGAGGCTCAAGTTAGAGTATGTAGGAAAGAGGGAAATTTTTTCCAGTAAAAGTAGGCCTTAGACAAGGATGTGTGATGTCACCGTGGTTGTTTAATATATTTTATAGATGGGGTTGTAAGAGAAGTAAATGCGAGGGTCTTGGCAAGAGGCGTGGAGTTAAAAGATAAAGAATCACACACAAAAGTGGGAGTTGTCACAGCTGCTCTTTGCTGATGACACTGGCTCTTGGGAGATTCTGAAGAGAAGCTCCCAGAGATTGGTGGTTTGAATTTGGTAGGGTGTGCAAAAGAAAAAAATTAAAGGTGAATACAGGAAAGAGTAAGGTTTAAAGATAACAAAAAGATTAGGTGATGAAAGATTGAATATCAGATTGGAGGGAGGAGTATGGAGGAGGTGACGTATTCAGATATTTGGGAGTGGACGTGTCAGCGGATGGGTCTATGAAAGATGAGGTGAATCATAGAATTGATGGGGGAAAAAAGAGTGAGTGGTGCACTTAGGAGTCTGTGGAGACAAAAAAGTTTGTCCTTGGGGCAAAGAGGGGAATGTATGAGAGTATAGTTTTACCAACGCTCTTATATGGGTGTAAAGCGTGGGTGATGAATGTTGCAGCGAGGAAAAGGGTGGAGGCAGTGGAGATGTCATGTCTGAGGGCAATTTTGTGGTGTGAATATATGCAGAGAATTCGTAGTTTGGAAGTTTAGGAGGAGGTGCGGGATTACCAAAATTTGTTGTCCAGAGGGCTGGGGAAAGGGGTTGTTGAGGTGGTTCGGACATGTAGAGAGAATGGAGCGAAACAGGGAAAGACTTCAAGAGTGTATCAGTCTGTAGTGGAAGGAGGCGGGGTAGGGTGTAGGAAGGGTTGGAGGGAGGGGTGGTAAGGAGGTTTTGTGTGCGAGGGGTTGGACTCCCGCAGGCTGCGTGAGCGGTTTTATGGGTGAATGGAGACAAATGGTTTTTAATACTTGACGTGCTGTTGGAGTGTGAAGAAGTACTTTATAAAGGGTCCGGAACGCGGCGGACTTGGTCTGGAGATGGAGTACGTGCCTGCAAATTGAGGAGGGGTGTTAATGTGGTTTTAAAAACTGTAGTGTAAAGCACCCTTCTGGCAAGACAGTGATGGAGTGAATGATGGTGAAAGTTTTTCTTTTTCGGGCCACCCTGCCTTGGTGGGAATCGGCCAGTGTGATAAAAATAATAATAATAACCATGGTGACATTACACATCTCTGTCTAAGACCTACTTTTACCGGGAAGTAGTCTCCCTCTCTTCTACACACCCTAACCTGAGCCTCACTATCCTCATAAAAACTCTTTGCAGCATTTAGTAACTTACCACCTCTTCCATATACTTGCAACATCTGCCACATTGCTCCTCTATTCACTATCATATGCCTTTTTTTTGCATTTATGGATTTAGAAAACTTCCCTACCTTTATCTAAATAACACTTGATCTACACATCCCCTACCCACTCTGAAACCTCCTTGCTCATCCGCCATCCTACATTCTGTCTTACCTCTAATTCTTTCAATTATAACCCTACCGTACACTTTTCCTGGTATACTCAGTAAACTTATTCCTCTATAATTTTTACAATCTCTTTTGTCCCCTTTCCCTTTATATAAAGGGACTATATACATGCTCTCCACCAATCCCTAGGTACCTTCCCCTCTTTCATACATTTATTAAACAAAAGTACCAACCACTCCAACACTATATCCCCCCTGCTTTTAACATTTCTGTCATGATCCCATCAGTTCCAGCTGCTTTACCCCCTTTCATTCTACGTAATGCCTCGCGTACCTTCCCCACACTTACATTCTGCTCTTCTTCACTCCTAAAAGATGGTATACCTCCCTGGCCAGTGCATGAAATTACCGCCTCCCTTTCTTCCTCAACATTTAAAAGTTCCTCAAAATATTCTCGCCATCTACCTAATACCCCCCTCTCCCCATCTACTGACTCCCCTGCTCTGTTTTTAACTGACAAACCCATACTTTCCCTAGGCTTTCTCAACTTGTTTAACTCACTCCAAAATTCTTTCTTATTTTCATTAAAATTTCTTGACAGTGCCTCTCCCACTCTATCATCTTCTCTCCTTTTGCACTCTCTCACAACTTTCTTTACCTTTCTTTTACTCTCCATATACTCTGCTCTTCTTACAACACTTCTGCTTTGTAAAAACCTCTCATAAGCTACCTTTTTCTCTTTTATCACACCCTTTACTTCATCATTCCACCAATCACTCCTCTTTCCTCCTGCCCCCACCCTCCTATAACCACAAACTTCTACCCCACATTCTAATACTGCATTTTTAAAACTATTCCAACCCTCTTCAACCCCCCCACTACTCATCGTTGCACTAGCCCACCTTTCTGCCAATAGTCGCTTATATTTCACCTCCCTCTTGTTGCCACCTTCCTCTTTTCCCATCTACCTCTTACTCTAACTGTAGCTACAACTAAATAATGATCCGATGTATCAGTTGCCCTTCTATAAACATGTACATCCTGGAGCCTACCCATCAACCTTTTATCCACCAATACAAAATCTAACAAACTACTTTCATTACGTGCTACATCATATCTTGTATATTGATTTATCCTCTTTTCATAAAATATGTATTACTTATTACCAAATCTCTTTCTACACATAGCTCAATTAAAGGCTCCCCATTTACAATTACCCCTGGCACACCAAATTTACCTACTACTCCCTCCATAACATTTTTACCCACTTTAGCACATTAATCCCCAACTACCATTACTCTCACACTTGATTCAAAACTACCCAGGCATTCACTCAACATTTCCCAAAATCTCTCTCTCTCCTCTACACTTCTCTCTTCTCCAGGTGCATACACGCTTACTATGACCCACTTTTCACATCCAATCTTTATTTTACTCCACATAATCCTTGAATTTATACATTTATAGTCCTTCTTTTCCTGCCATAGCTTATTCAACATTATTGCTACTCCTTCTTTAGCTCTAACTCTGTCTGAAACCCCTGACCTAATCCCATTTATTCCTCTCCATTGAAACTCTCCCACCCCCTTCAGCTTTGTTTCACTTAAAGCCAGGACATCCAGCTTCTTCTCATTCATAACATCCACAATCATCTCTTTCTTATCATCTGCACAACATCCACGCACATTCAGACTTCCCACTTTGACAATTTTCTTCTTCTTATTCTTTTTAGTAATCTTTACAGGAAAAGGGGTTACTAGCCCATTGTTCCCGGCATTTTAGTTGACTTTTACAACACGCATGGCTTACGGAGGAAAGATTCTTATTCCACTTCCTCATGGATATAAAAGGAAAAGTAATAAGACCAAGAACTATTAAGATAAAATCAAAGAAAACTCAGATGAGTGTGTATAAATAAACGTGTACAAGTATGTGTAGTGTGACCTAAGTGTAAGTAGAAGTAGCAAGACATACCTGTAATCTTGCATATTTATGAGACAGACAATAAAAGACAGGAAGCATATGCTTGCTCACATTCTTGAATGCTCTGGGGCTCTCAGAGTGGTAGATTAAGACTTCAGTTTATATCCTGCAACATTTCCACCTGAAAGCAGCATAACACAATCTTTGAATACCTTATATCCCAGCATTGTTTTGGCCTCTTGATGAATGTGCATCACTATCTTACAGTTGAACCATCATAAAGCGAGGATCATCTGTGTTCTTGGGAGGAGCACCCCTCAAGGAAGGTTCCTTGTGTTAGTGAGGGGCTCTTGATTTAGGGAATGGATCTGTGCTCCAGTTCCCTGAATTAAGCCTGAATGCCTTCCACATCCCCCCCCCCCAGGCGCTGTATAATCCTCTGGGTTTAGCGCTTCCCCCTTGATTATAATAATAATAATTGGGAGGAGCACATGACCTAAAGATTAATCTTTCCTCTGAAGATACCAATTATTATACAGCTATTGTTAAGCAGTAATTTGTAACACCTACAGCTCCAATAATGTATGTAAATTTGTATTAGTGAATATGACAAGAACTGCTGTAAATTCACATTGTTTTGTTTACCTACCTACAGATTGGACTTCAATATGTACTACGCCAAAAAGCACGAACATCTACGAATGGCAACTTCTCCAGAAACATCACTTGATTATAATAGTGGCCCAGTGTCTGCTGAATTTGATAGTCAGCATATGTAGAACGTAATTAAGCTTGCACCATTGTTTACGTATATTTAAATAAATAGCCTTGACCCTCAGGGGCCTGCAGATAGTAATAGGTTTAATCTGTTGGATTTTAAAGCTATAAATTTGCAACACTTAATTGTGAATCTGTAGGTCATTCATAGGGCCAAGTATGATTGTAAGCTGAGTGGGGTACCTTGATCATGTTCAAGTATCAACTCTGAGTAAATAAATCCTTTAAGTGGAAGCGAGAGAAATATCAAGTATCCTTTCACAAATATGGAGAAAATATAAATTATCTTTATTCATTGCTGTATAGCCCTTGTGGCTTAGCGCTTCTTTTTGATTATAATATCTTTATTCATCATTGTAGCATGCTGCAAGAGTTATTAGTAAGTTACACGGGATTCTTTAATTGGGTTCTATGCATTGAAATATGAAAGGCTTGTTTAAAGATGTGAAAAAAAAAGTCTCATGGCTGAAAGAGCAGCAGTTTCCTGGGGGGGCAGGGGGATGTCAAGATTTTACGGTCACACTTTTCCATTGGTGTATGCTTACCTAACTTATTGCAATCCCCCTGATACATGGAGTTTTCTTTTCAGTTTACTACATATTTTGAGACAATGAATGTATTGACTAATACAGTGATGAGGAAGAATTTGTGAATTACATTAAATAAGGAGCCAGAATGTAGTCTGGTTTTTAGTATGACTTAAGAAGTGTGTCTATATTGGTCATCCATAAAATGACAATCCATAAGCAGGAAGCTACAATAGTAACTAGTTATTTTTTTATATATATTATTATCTGACTTATGAACAAGATTTTCTTAAGTTAATTTTTACATTTTATTATCAGCTTCCCTATTGGATTAGATTTATAGTGTCCACTGGATTTTTTTAAGCTGATACAGCAGTTTTTGCACGTCATTCCACAGGAGGTATGTATTTATATGTATTGTTCCACAGCCCAATAAACTGTTTGTCCATTTTAAATAAATTTAATATTAAAATTATGACTGTTTAAATTATTTTTAACACTGGCTGCCTCCCACTGAGGTAGGGTGGCCAAAAAAGAAAAACTTTTGCCATCATTCACTATCACTGTCTTGCCAAAGGTGTGTAAATATTTCAGTTCAGCTGCCCTTCTTCTCCAGCATCTTCACTCCGCTGCTCTCTCTTTACCTTCCCTTCTCGCTGATGGACCCACTTTTCATCCGGACTCTCTCATTGACAACAACTGACTTACTTCACAAACTCTGATGATACCTTCAGCCCTTTCTACCTCTACCCCTGCCCCGCTGTTTTCTGGAACCTACTGATCGCCCCTCCCCCCTTCTGCCGCCCAATACCCTCGTTTCCTTCCCTACCCTGCAGCGCTGTATAACCCTTGTGGCTTAGCGCTTCTTTTTGATTATAATAATAATAATCAGCTGCCCTTCTAAACACAAACATCCCCACCCCTCCTTTAGAGTACAGGCGCTGTACTTCCACCTCCAGGACTCATGTCTGGCTAACTGGTTTACCTTAATCCTTTATAAAATGTTACCTTGTTCACACAACAACAGCTTATCAGGTCCCCAAAACTATTTGCCTCCACTTGTATCTAACACACTTACACTTTCTGAATGTACAAGCCCCTTGCACAATATATTGTGTGTATGAAATCAGTCCACAATAAGAGCTAGTAAAATTGTATGAAAATACAAAACTGAGAACATATTTTCGGCGAGGGTGCTTGTACACTACTGTGATTTAGGTACTTGGTGGTGTTTATTGCAGGATCAACTATTGACAACTATGGATGAAGTTCAACATCCTTAAACTTACTTCCTGTGGTTCAGCTCTACATTGGGAAACTAGACCTGAATGCCCTGTGATGCTGTAGCTCTCTCCATTCCACTATACCCTAACCTTATCCAGAAAATGTCACACTGAATTCTACTGCTTTTATTCACCCTTGCATTTCTAAAGCAATCTAAAATGTGTAAATATTTGCTACCAGCTTTAACTAGAGCTTTCCTGTTGCTGAAGTGGCAACTTGTTTGTTTGCCTTGTTTGTGGTTAACATTTTCTCAGCTCACTCTTGTGGTTTAGAGCTTCTTTTTTTATTATAATAATAATTCTCAGCTCACTTCCTCAGTGGTGTATTTAGCAGGTCAGAGATTTCCAGGTAGTTGTACCAGGTTTTTTCAGGCTCAATACAATATAAAAAAATGCTGGAGACATGAGCATCCACTAAAATAACATTTGCTACAGGAGTATTCCATCAGCAGTTACATGGTCCAGGTTAACAAGCTACCCCTCATTGCCTCAACTGTGCTTATGATCACATATTTATTTGCAGAAATATATCATTTTCTTATAGGTATGAGAGAGCCATATTTTAAAGGCCATAAAAGAAATGGCCTATGGATTGAACCCAATTCTCTCTCCAGTGAATGTAATAATTCATGTCCAAGTCCAAGACAGGCATGTAACTTATTCACTGCTGTACATGTACAGTGAATAAGAAAAAAAAGTGATCTTTGAAACAGAATTAGCTGCAAAATTTTGCAAGCCTCTGGTGTGAAGGAAATTTTCAGTACTGTGAAGAAAAATATTGGAAGCAGTATTTGTACAAGAATTAATGGTTCCAAGATATCATGAAGATTGTTAGAAAACTGAAGAAATTACCATCTAATATGAAGAACAACTTGGGATAATCATTACCACAAACATGTCCCCATTCAGGAACAAACAGCCATGTTCAAAACACACTACCTCATATATGACCTATTCTCAAGCAAGCAGCACCAGTGTGGAACCTTCATAGTTAAACTTGAAGTGAAACTTTAGAAAATGCAAAGGCATACATAGAGATTGGGAAACAAACTATGAAGAATGCCAGAACTAAACCTTGTTATTGGAGGAATGAAGAGCAAGACAGGATATGATTGATACACAAAATACCAAGGGGTAGAGAAAGTAGATAATTAGGGACTATAGAGTAGTAACTACGGATCACCTGCCCTCACTGCCATCAGTGTGTGCTGTGGATTCCCTAATATGGCACAGGAGCCCTTGCTTTGCCTGCTTCCTTTACCAGTACCAAGACAACCCCTACCTTTCCTTGGAGGGCCATTTTTATTATCACACTGGCCGATTCCCACCAAGGCAGGGTGGCCTGAAAAAGAAAAACTTTCACCATCATTCACTCCATCACTGTCTTGCCAGAAGGGTACTTTACACTACAGTTTTTAAACTGCAACATTAACACCCCTCCTTCAGAGTGCAGGCACTGTACTTCCCATCTCCAGGACTCAAGTCCGGCCTGCCGGTTTCCCTGAATCCCTTCATAAATGTTACTTTGCTCACACTCCAACAGCACGTCAAACCACCTCAACAACCCTTCCTCAGCCCTCTGGACAACAGTTTTGGTAATCCCGCACCTCCTCCTAACTTCCAAACTACGAATTCTCTGCATTACATGTATATTCGCACCACACAATGCCCTCAGATATGACATCTCCACTGCCTCCAGCCTTCTCCTCGCTGCAACATTCATCACCCATGCTTCACACCCATATAAGAGCGTTGGTAAAACTATACTCTCATACATTCCCCTCTTTGCCTCCAAGGGCAAAGTTCTTTGTCTCCACAGACTCCTAAGTGCACCGCTCACCCTTTTCCCCTCATCAATTCTATGATTCACCTCATCTTTCATAGACCCATCCGCTGACACGTCCACTCCCAAATATCCGAATTCATTCACCTCCTCCATACTCTCTCCCTCCAATCTGATATCCAATCTTTCATCACCTAATCTTTTTGTTATCCTCATAACCTTACTCTTTCCTGTATTCACTTTTAATTTTCTTCTTTTGTATACCCTACCAGATTCATCCCCCAACCTCTGCAACTTCTCTTCAGAATCTCCCAAGAGCAGTGTCATCAGCAAAGAGCAATTGTGACAAATCCCACTTTATGTGTGATTCTTTATCTTTTAACTCCACGCCTTTTGCCAAGACCCTCGCATTTACTTCTCTTACAACCCCATCTATAAATATATTAAACAACCACTTTGACATCACACATCCTTGTCTAAGGCCTACTTTTACTGGGAAATAATTTCCCTCTTTTCTACATACTCTAACTTGAGCCTCACTATCCTCGTAAAAACTCTTCACTGCTTTCAGTAACCTACCTCCTACACCATACACCTGCAACATCTGCCACATTGCCCCCCTATCCACCCTGTCATACGCCTTTTCCAAATCCATAAATGCCACAAAAACCTGTTTAGCCTTATCTAAATACTGTTCAATTATATGTTTCACTGTAAACACCTGGTCCACACACCCCCTTCCTTTCCTAAACCCTCCTTGTTCATCTGCTATCCTATTCTCTGTCTTACACATTCTACTTTGATCCATTCTCTCTAAATGACCAAACCACCTCAACAACCCCTCTTACTAATACTTTTATTAACTCCACACCTAATTTCCACACTCCGAATTTTGTGCATAATATTTACACCACACATTGCCCTTAGACAGGACATCTCCACTGCCTCCAACCGCCTCCTCGCTGCAGCATTTACAACCCAAGCTTCACACCCATATAAGAGAGTTGGTACCACTATACTTTCATACATTCCCTTCTTTGCCTCCATAGATAACGTTTTTTGTCTCCACATATACCTTAACATATCACTTTTTTCTTCATCAAGTTTATGGTTAATCCTATCCCCTGACAGGGCAACTCCCAAATATCTGAAAACATTCACTTCTTCCATACTCCCTCTCTCCAATGTGATATCCAATTTTTCTTTATCTAAATCATTTGATACCCTCATCACCTTACTCTTTATCTATGTTCACTTTCAACTTTCTACCTTTACACACCCTCCCAAAGTTGTCCACTAACCTTTGCAACTTTTCTTTAGAATCTCTCATAAGCACAGTATCATCAGCAAAATGTAACTGTGCCAACTCCCATTTTGTATTTGATTCCCCATAATTTAGTCCCACCCTCTCTCCCCAACACCCTAGCATTAACTTCTTTTACAATCAGGAAGCATATAGTTGAAAAACAGGTAAAACAGCTAATTCACATCAGCTGGTGCAAATAGGTCCCATAATTATATACAGTAAGCTCTTACTCATAGGGTTATACACCATCAGGAAAAGGAGATAATCAGGCTTGTCAACTACGCCTATAATTCTCATCCCCATAACACTTTTAAAAAGAGCTAATGTTACCTTTAGTTGGGTTCCTGATCAGTCTGGTGTGCAGGGTCATTCTGAGCAGCATCAATGGTCCAGGTTAGCAGCTAAGCTGTTTTTAATTAAATGATAATCTGGCTCCTGTCCATCCTCAAATCAGTGGTATCTGTGTGGGAAAGTACTCTCCTTACTACACACTAATCCCATCAAATACAACTGGCTATCTCGCAAGAGTTGTGCCCAGAGCTACAAGAATTCTTAAGTTTGTTCAGACAGTACAAGACCTTTCAATAAAATTATTCTTTATTAAGCTTACTAACATTTTTAACATTATCTCTAATGCATTCTGCCCTCCAATCAGTTTTATTTTTAGTACATTCTATAACATTGGGCTGATTTATTGTACCACTTTTAAACACATCTTTTAGCCTTAGTACCTCTGCCTCTTTACTCCAGTCTTGACCACATCTTCCTCTCTATCTTGCTGCTCTAAATGACCTTTAGTGCAAGAAACTTTACCTGCAGTACTGATCCATAGTAGTCTCTCTCATATTCTCCATCCTCAAGCCTGGGCATGGTGCACCAAGTTCCACAGCAGCTCTTGAAAGTATTTTCAGGTATGTGTCTTCTCTCCTGTCAGTATCGAAAATTCTAGCCAATATGGCCCATAGCTTCCCTAGAGCCATGACTATCCAATGAAGGAGAGGAGGCATGCATTGCTAAAAAAAAAATCTAAGAATGGTGGAAAAGGATATTTATATTAAAAGCCCTATGAAGTATTATTTTGTGTACTTTTAATAAAATTTTCTATAAATACTCTGAATTTTTGTTTACTTTTTACATCAAATCTGCTGATAACACTAAAAAATAAAGCACTGTAAATTTTCCACTTTTATATGCCAACAAAACAGGTTTTTTCCTCCATACATTGTCTTATGCTACACTCACTCACTCATAAAATGCCTATTAAAAATCCTTATACAGTATTATGATCAAAAAGACCCATTTCATTCAGTAAAAATGAGCAATCACAATCCTGTATTTAAAGGATTAAATAATGACATGTCTTTGTACAGCCTCCAACCTAAAATAAAAAAATTAAGATGTTTCTACAATACATTCATACTTTATACATATCCTCTTATACACACATACAAAAGTCACTCTCAATGCTATTAATCACCATGACAAAATCATGTATATAATACTCACTTAATATTCAAAGACATTTAACCAGCAGAGGAGAAAAGTCCTCCATATTTTAATATAAATTTAACTATTGTATTACCAGATATCTAACCAGCAACTTAGAGAAGCCCTCGTCTTTCAATATAAACTTTATCTAACATTATGGACAAGAGGCTACTTCAACTGCAATGCTAGTGAGAAATCTGCTTTTACTATGCATACAGGAAACAATATCTGTGATTTGTACTTCATTACACACTTTGCTCTGTATCGTCTGTGCATGTACCGCATTACATGCAAGATGAAGTGCATATGCTATTTAAAACAAAAACAAATGACTGAAGAACACCTTCAGCACATTAGAGAGTTTTGAGAGTGTAAAGAGTAATATCATTCTGCTCATTTGCCATATCCGTTTTAATGATTTTGTTAACAAACTGTTCAATCTTAATACTAAATACAATGTGTTTTATCAAAAGCAAAAACCACATCCTCTGCCACAGTCAGCTATTGTTTATAATCAGACCTATAAACTAAAAGAGAATAATTTCTTTAAATTCCTGCAGCACAAAAAATTAAAGGGGATTAACTTAAAGTCACTTAGCTATACCACAAATGGTAGTTTCCCAATGCATGGGCTATATAAAATTTGTTAACAAGAGATCAATATCATTATTACCCATTCATCAAGAATATATGGAAAATATTCAGACATTTTTTTTTTTTTTTTAGTTTCTAATTCCAGACTTTCTTTTAGTTAAAAAATAAAGAAAACCTATTTAGAAAATAATCAGATATAGCAAAACAATGACTTGACATTTTAAAGATATCTATGAAACAATGCTAAATAAAACAGTATTTTTAAAAATCAAGCTTGGATATTTTAAAATAATCACCCTTAACATGCTTGCTAGTAACTTCAGATAAATACCTCATAGATCACAACTGACCTCAATACTATAAGAAACAAATATTTTGTATAACAGTATACAAAATTCAAGGCTTTGTGACCAGTTCACAATATAATTATTGCATTGAACATACAATATGTAAAAATTACCAAATCCATTTTTTTTACATTTTAACAAATTTGCTTTACTTATGTTCCAACAATTATCACAAATATCTTAAATTTCAGGTCAGGAGAAAATACTCATGCATAAAATGTAATTAAGCTTTTGCCCCATTTAGAAAATTGAATAACTACAGTATTTAATCTTGATTAAGCATATCATTAACAACATTATCTGCAGAGTAAGATGAATGCAACAACCCCCCCTCCAAATAAATAATAGCTGTTCATAAAATTTCTTCACATTCTACAGTCCTCTCTTATGAGTCAGTCTCTATATTGGATCTCTCATGAAAACAGGTACATTGCATAAACATTCATATCATAAAATTCTCCAGGCACAATATTACAATAGCTTCTTGGTCCTTTTTAGGCACAATATACAACACATTTTAAGAACCACAGGTTGTAATTACAGGGAAGCATTCTCAAACAAAATACCTTTACTTATAAACATTTCTGTGAAGGGCCCTTCTTGTGAAAGTTCTACAGCTTGCAACTTCTTCAATACCAACATAGTGTAGAATTTCTGTGCCACCTGTTGAATAAAAATACTAGCATTAGAATATAACAAATTTACACATACACCATCTCCTGCCAAGGCAGGGTGACCCCAAAATAAGAAAACACTTTCACTGTCATTCATTTCATCGCCGTCTTGCCAGAAGCGTGCCAACATCACAACTCGGATAACCTTCCCAACTGTGTCTACCCCTCCTTGAGGACTCAAATCCGACTAGCCAGATTCCTCAAATCCTTTCATTAATGTTACTTCAACAGCATGTCAAATCATAAAAACCATTTGCATCCACTACACCACACTCACAAAAGCCTGTTTGATATTCAAGCCCCCTCTTATCACTCAAAGCCTCCCTTACCCCTTCCCTCTAATCCTTCCTGGGACAATCCCTATCCCTCCTTTGCTCTACCCAATTTATATGCCCCCCTAGTCATTCCATTTTGCTCCATCCTTTATGTTAAACCCACCTCAACAACCATTCCTTTGCCCTTTGAATAGGACTTTCTGTAACCCCCCACATCTCCTAATCTCCAAACTATGAATCCCTTGCATAAAATTTACACTATGCATTGCCCTCAAACATGGCATCTCCACTGCCTCCAACTTCCTCCTGGCTGCAATGTTTAAAACCCATGCTTCACACTAGTATAACAACAGTGGTTTACCACTATACCCTGGTACATTTTTCCCTTTTACCTCCATGGAAAAGGTTCTTCAGCTCCACAAATACCTCACTGCACCACCCACCTTTTTACATTGTGTCAATTCTATGGTTGATCTCATCTTTCACAGATCCAGCAACCAACAATTTCAATTCCAAATATCTAAACACATTTACTTCCTCCAATCTGATATCCAGTTCTTCACTGCCTATTATTTTTGTAACTCTCATCACTTTGCTCTTTGCTATGTTCATTTTTAATTTCCTCCTTTACATTCCTACCCAAATTCATCTACCAACCTCTGTAGTGTTTCTTCAGAATCTTCCAAAAAAACTGTCATAAAAAAAAACTAACTACCTATGACATCTCTCATATCTCCAACACCCTAGCATTCACCCCTTTTACAACCATCTATAAATATGTCAAATAGCCATGGTGACATCACACATTCTTAAGGTTTGCTTTCACTGAAAAATAATCGAGCCTCAATTTTCTCTCTCGACACACTGGCCACATCCCACCGAGGCAGGGTAACCTAAAATGAAAAACGAAAAAATTTTCTTTTTAAATTTAGTAATTTACAATGTAGAAGGGGTTACTAGCCCCTTGTTCCCGACATTTCAGTCACCTCTTACAACACACACGGCTTACAGAGGAAAAATTCTCTTCCATTTCCCCATGAGCCATGATATCCATATATAAACTCTCTATTCCTCTTAACCCTTAAACGGTCCAAACAAATCGACGTTCAAATTCGTAGTGCTACAAAAGTAGATTTACTTTATTTTTTACATATTTTCAAATGTAACAAAAAAAAAATGTAGATAAAAGTTTTTTTTTACACCTTTTCAAATGTAAAACAAAAAAGATCTACATTTTTTTACATACTTTCAGATGTTGAAAAAACGTATATATACGTTTGGACCATTTAAGGGTTAATAACCTACAACCCACAGTATTCCATACATCAGTAACATCTACCAGTGCTCCATTATCCACCCTATCATATGCCCTTTCTAAATACATAAATGAAACAAAAAATTCCTTCCTTAGTATACACTTCCTTCAACCTCCTTATTCCTCTTCAATCCTACTCTCTGTATTGCCCCTACTTTTTCCAATAAATAATTCCATCATACATTACCCAATACTCAACAGGCTTATTACTCTATAATTCTTACTAGGGGTGGGATGATACCAAAATTTTTGCAGATGCCAATACTCAATTTTAAGTCAATATTAATACCATCAAAAATAGCTGATACCAAAACTTGGCAGGCCCCTAATTCTTACTCTCATCATCTTTTCCCATATACAAAAAAACAATGCATACTCTTCCAATCCTGTAAGTACCTTCCTTTCCCTTCCATGCATATACTGAACAAATCCACCAACCATTCAAAACTATCCCCACCTGCTCTTAACAGCTCTGCCCTGATGCCACCTATCCCAGTTGCTTTATTTAGCTCCTTTCATTCTACCCACTGACTCATTCTTCCCTCATACTCACCTCTGGCTCTTCCTCACTCTCACAAAATGATGTACCTCCTGAATGTTTCCAGTACCTAGTTGAATCCATGCCACAAAGAATTCAGGCTGTTCTAAGGGCAGGGGGGTTGTGGCCCACCCAGTACTAGAAGGGTGTACAGTAGGGCCCCACTTTCCAGTGTATCGCTTTACGGTGTTCTGCTAAAACGGACATTTCAAATTATGACCAAAACTTGTTATATGGCTCCCTCCACCTGACTTTCTAATACAGTCACTGCACCCCAGCGGGTTTGTTTACATTCTACCTGAGCACAGCATCTCTCCATTATGTCTGGAAACTCCAAAATTTTAAGTGTTTTTAAAAGTTATTACATATTTTATATAATTTTTATCTCAACAAGTCAGCCGTCTCCCACCAAGGCAGGGTGACCCAAAAAGAAAATCCCTAAAAAGAAAATACTTTCATCACCATTCAACACTTTCATCTCACTCATACATAATCACTGTTTTTGCAGAGGTGCCCAGATACAACAGTTTAAAAGCATATATAAAGATATATAACATATCTCTAAAAACTGCCAATATCTCAAACCACTCCTTAAGAGTGCAGGCATTGTACTTCCCATTTCCAGTACTCAAGTCCGGCTATATAAAAATAATTGGTTTCCCTGAATCCCTTCATAAATATTACCCTGCTCAGACTCCAACAGCTCGTCAGGTCCCAAAAACCATTAGTCTCCATTCACTCCTATCTAACAAATTCACACACGCTTGCTGGAAGTCCAAGCCCCTCGCCCACAAAACCTACCCCATCCCTCCAACCTTCTCGAGGAAGACCCCTGCCCCGCCTTCCTTCCCCTACAGATTTATAAACTCTCCATGTCATTCTACTTTGATCCATTCTCTCTAAATGACCAAACCACCTCAACAACCTTTCTTCAGCCCTCTGACTAATACTTTTAACAACTCCACACCATCTCCTATTTCCACACTCCAAATTTTCTGCATAATATTTACACCACACACTGCCCTTAGACAGGACATCTCCACTGCCTCCAACTGCCTCCTCGCTGCTGCATTTACAACCCAAGCTTTACCCCCATATAAGAGAGTTGGTACCACTATACAGTGGACCCCCACATAACGATCACCTCCGAATGCGACCAATTATGTAAGTGTATTTATGTAAGTGCGTTTGTACGTGTATGTTTGGGGGGTCTGAAATGGACTATCTACTTCACAATATTCCTTATGGGAACAAATTCGGTCAGTACTGGCACTTGAACATACTTCTGGAGTGAAAAAATATCGTTAACCGGGGGTCCACTGTACTTTCATACATTCCCTTATTGGCCTCCATAGATAATGTTTTTTGTCTCCACATATACCTCAATGCACCACTCACCTTTTTTCCTTCATCAATTCTATGATTAACCTCATCCTTCATAAACCCATCCGCTGACACATCAACTCCAAAACATCTGAAAATATTCGCTTCTTCCACTTTCCTCCCTCTCCAATGTGATATCCAATTCTTCTTTATCTAAATCATTTGATACCCTCATCACCTTACTTTTATCTACGTTCACTTTTAACTTTCTACCTTTACACACATTCCCAAACTCATCCACTAACCTTTGCAATTTTTCTTTAGAATCTCCCATAAGCACAGTATCATCAGCAAAAAGTAACTGTGTCAATTCCCATTTTGAATTTGATTCCCCATAATTTAATCCCACCCCTCTCCCAAACACCCTAGCATTTACTTCTTTTACAACCCCATCTATAAATATAGTAAACAACCATGGTGACATTACACATCTCTGTCTAAGACCTACTTTTACCGGGAAGTAGTCTCCCTCTCTACTACACACCCTAACCTGAGCCTCACTATCCTCATAAAAACTCTTTACAGCATTAATAACTTACTACCTATTCCATATACTTGCAACATCAGCCACATTGCTCCCCTATCCACTCTATCATATGCCTTTTCTAAATCCATAAATGCAATAAAAACTTTCAACCTTTACACACCCTTCCAAACTCGTCCACTAAACTTTGCAACTTTTCTTTAGAATCTCCCATAAGCACAGTATCATCAGTAAAAAGTAACTGTGTCAACTCCCATTTTGTATTTGATTCCCCATAATTTAATTCCACCTCTCTCCCCAACACCCTAGCATTTACTTCTTTTACAAGCCCATCTATAAATATATTAAACAACCATGGTGACATTACACATCCCTAAGACCTACTTTTACCGGGAAGTAATCTCCCTCTCTACTACACACCCTAACCTGAGCCTCACTATCCTCATAAAAACTCTTTACAGCATTAATAACTTACTACCTATTCCATATACTTGCAACATCAGCCACATTGCTCCCCTATCCACTCTATCATATGCCTTTTCTAAATCCATAAATGCAATAAAAACTGCCCTACCTTTATTTAAATACTGTTCACATATATGCTTCAATGTAAACACTTGATCTACACGTCCCCTACCCACTCTAAAACCTCCTTGTTCATCCAAAATCCTACTCTGTCTTACCTCTAATTCTTTCAATATTAACTCTACAGTACACTTTTCCTGGTATATTCAGTAAACTAATTCCTCTATAATTTTTACAATCTCGTTTGTCCCTCTTCCCTTTATATAAAGGAACTATACATGTTCTCTGCCAATCCCTAGGTACCTTCCCCTCTTTCATACTTTTTTTTTTTCCTCAACAAGTCAGCCGTCTCCCACCGAGGCAGGGTGACCCAAAAAGAAAGAAAATCCCCAAAAAGAAAATACTTTCATCATCATTCAACACTTTCACCTCACTCACACATAATCACTGTTTTTGCAGAGGTGCTCAG